TGTGTGATGGAGAGAAACTCTCCATTTTTTATGTTTTGCTTTTTTTTTTTTTAATTTGTTTTGTTAATCATATAATTTTTTTCCGATTTAGAATTTTTTTCTCTTTATGATAAAACTTAATTTTTTAAAAAATTTAATTAAATAATATTTATATATTTTTTATTTAATTTTCATAACTTTCTTTTGTTTAATTTGTTTTATTTTTATTATATATTTTTAAAATTTTTCTTTATATTATAAATAATTTTTTGTTCGATTTAAAATTCTTTTTAATCCTTTTTATTTTATGATGAAACGTGATTTTTTAATTCTAATTAAATAATATTTATTTTTAATTTTAATTAATAACTTTATAATAACTTTTTTTTATTTTTGTTTGCAATTCTTTTTTTATGTTCTTTAATATGTTAAATGATTTAGTTTTTTTAATTATTATATTGGTGTAAAATGATAGTCACAATTTGATTTGCTTAATTTTTTGAGATTATGTTTTATTCCATTATCTCTTATTTAATATTTTAATATTTGAATTTTTGCATAATGAAATACCATCTAGATCCAGTAACTGAACACTATTACATAGAAACAATGCCACGACAAGTGTCTCTTTCATTCTTGTTAGGAAGTATATAGTCAAAACAAAGGAAATGATAATAGGATAAATGGGATGACAGTACAAAACCTGTTTGAGAATAGAGTGTGAAAATGAGTGTGACAAAAAAAAAATAGTACTCCCCCAAGTCCCGCTTTTAAGAGAAAGTAGATTATAATGAAAGATTAAGTATTTACTTACTCATTTTTTAAAAGGTTAGAAACCGACTCGCTATTTAGCCCCAATTTGGCCCCCATTAATTTTTTCATTTCATTACATTTCATTTTTCTCTCTCTTATTTTCAACTACATAATCTCTCATAAAATAATATTACACGTAAATCAAAAAAATTTCTTCTTTTTTCAACTACTCATTTTTCAAAAAAACATTATTCCACTCATTTTCATTTCTACAAAGTGGAGGCCAAACGGGGGCTTAATCACTAATCAGGAGATTGGTGGCATATTTGCCTTGACTTTTATTTGGTAAGGATTTTAATTCAAATCAAAGTCAATAATTAATTTTAATAAAATATTTGATAAGACTCGCAACTTTTGAACACAGATTTCATCAATTTTTATAAAAATTTATTAAAAATATAATAATAATCCTCGCCAAACAGGGTTGAAATTATGGTTAATATCAATTCATCATTATTAACAAGTCATTACAAGTCAAAAAGAAGATTGCAACCGTAGATTGCTTTGGGAAAATGTAAATGCTATATAAAAATGTACATCATGTGAAGGGTTTGACTTTTTCTAAGTTTACAACTAAGATAGGGTTGACATTGACAAACCAATGGCGTGCGGTGTAATTCGACTCTTACTATCTTTATTTTTGCTGATTAATTTTTAAAACATTGATATAACCAACAAATAGATGTGGAGATTGAGCATGCTCCAATCCCATTTATGTTTTTCACGTGTTAAAAAAATTATAGAATTTTATTTTTTAATGTATTAATCCAGTGAAAAAAAAAAAAAAAATTTATCCCTCCCTCGACTCTCTATCCACGTCAACAAATAACATGACAAGAACAGTCCTCCTTTAGCCCCTTCCAAATGTCACATATTGGAGCATATGATCGATTGAAACAAAAAAAGTCACTTTTTTCGACATTCAAAGATAACTACCATTGATGAACATATGCATATGTAGCAGTAATGAGTTGTAGGCAAGCATTGGCTGCAGAAGGTCACAACAGTCCATGTTAGTTCTCATAATACTAATAATAATAAATAAATAAAATAAATTTGGCTATATTATTTCTCCAAACTTTTCTAAATATTAGGTGAAAACATTAGTAGTCGATAAACTAGTATTGAAATTATAAGTAGATTAATGAACTTTTCTCTTTAGACTTGTCACTTGTTAATATTTACTTTAAACCTTAATCATTATGCCCACTCCCACTAATGAGAATTTCTTACTTTATTGTTAAAATTGACTAAAAG